TTTTTCCTTTTACATTGAGTAACACTAATAACGACAAAGCCCCTTCTACTATATCGGTCCTACGAGTAACTCTGTATCCCATATTATTAGTATCCCTCCTGATGCCCCTACTAACAAGAGCACTACCCATTCTTTAAATCAGGACTCCCACACACTTCACACTAAAATTGTATTTATTACTTCTTTCTTTGTCTCCTAAAACAAAACAACATTAGGATTTGCCCTTATAATGATCTCTTTGGTTTGCTTCTTTTAAGTTCACTTCTCATCTCATTAATGTTCCTGTTAACTATTCTCATTGACTCCCTAATGTCTGGCTCACCTTCCCGACACCTTCTATAATGACTTGTCATGCTACTTTCTTAATATCCAGCACCACCTGTTTTTCCTAGGGGCATATGATTGAGGTGATACTACCATATCTGATGTGAGCAAGAAGAGGGAAAAGAATTTCTTTAAAGAGAGAATCATCCAAGAGTGAAAACTTCTTCCAAAACCATATGATATCTTAAAGAAAGAGAATCAAATTTCATTCCTTAAATAACTAAATCCCACGGTTTAGGAAAGATATAAGTAGCCTCTTTCCTCCTTTAATGGTCAGCTTTAATTAACCATATTTATTTCCCCTAATTCCTCCACAATTAATTAAAATATTCTCATTTAAAAAGAGAATATCTTATTTAGCCTATTATAGTCAAAATCTTCTTAATTTTTATTATTTTCTCATTCAAGACAATATTTAATTTTCATATAATTTCTTCTATTAATTTAGAAAATTTATTTTCTTATCATGCACATGATCTACTTTATAAATAGGTATTCAATTCACAATTGTAACGAATCAAATTTAAAAATAATAAAACTATGAAGTTTTAATTTTCAACTAATTAGGTTTCTTCAACCTTCTTGTTGAATGGGAATTGATTCAACTTATCAATATATATTCTTGTGGCGTTTTATCAATTTTCTTTTGAATTGATTTCTAACTTATCAAATTCATACTTGTGACGTTTTTAATTCAAACTATCGCAATCACCTAAGTTGACATAAACATGTTGAATGTAAATCAAGTAGGGAGGATTTGTTGAGAGTTTTATGATTCTGAAAACTAATGTTATATATGGAGTTTTTGATCACGTTAGTTGATCCTGAGTTCTGCATCATTTG